GAACAAAATCCCCAGAATGTGTACAATATCCCTATTGTGTGCACGGATTTGCAGACTGATTATTCAGAGTGTAGCCAAGGAAAGGTAAGGCTATGACCCATTGTTTTCCTGCGATCAATTGAATGCTGTCATTTGCATTTAAAACGCTCCGAATTCGCACTGTCAATATGCCAAACAGCTGCTCGGGCTTTTCAGCATTCCATGGTGACAATCACACTATCGTACATCATTGGCACCAGGATTTGCAATACTCTCAGTGTCAAAATTTTGTGGTTTTTTCCTTCTTTTTTTTTTTTCCTAAGGGAAAAAAAAAAAAAAATCCCCCCCCTTTTCAAAATACCCAAACCTGTGAAAAATCCACTTTAAAATGATGGCGTTTGGTGCTGCTAAGCAGGCCTTCACAGATGCCAGCATATCAAAATTCATCTCTTTTCTTCCTCTCCTACAATTAAAAGGTAGTTAAGAAAGAGGCTGTTCCTGATAGACCCACCTTCTGTTTTCTCCTTTGTATGCGTATTATTCATTAGCAGTCTAATAAGAGTTTCAAAATGCTCTGTGCCTCTGCCAGCAGGGCATATGTATGTAGACATGTGCTTGTGACAGATAAGTACATAAACAGCATATTGGCACCAGAAAGACATCTGTGCCTAGAAAAACGCTTGTGATATGTACATAAATGACATTTTAGCTCTAGTCAAGTCCTTGTGGCTTTGAGAGGAATATGTGACTGTACTCTTCTCTGTGAATACTGAAAAGGTGCATCTTCGGAGGGAAGAGTATTTTAGAGGTTTATGGAGAGCCGGAGGAAGAGCTGGGATGCGGGTAGCCGCCCCGTGTGAACAGCCGGGGTTGCAGCCCCAGCTCTGCCAGGTTGCAGCAGACGGTGGCAGGGTCTTGCCAAAGGGATCGTAGGTGGTTGCCGCCGGCAGTGCTGCAGGCACGGCCCCCTCAGGGGAAGCACCCGGCACCCCCAAAGCCTGATTCCATACGTCCGTATGGGGTCTGCCATGCGGGGCGGCGCAGGGCTGGCAAACGAGATGCAGCTCCTGGCTGTGAAGGGAATAAAGTCTTGGCTCAAAGACCAAAAAGTCAGGGGTGATGCAGGGTCTGGAGGCACGGGGAGTGCTCCCTGCAGTGCTTTCTGCCACCTATATTGAATTATCTGCCTGACAAATCACCACAACTGTCTTCTACAGCAGAAAAGGGATGTTTTGGTCTGCTACAGGAAGGCACCGAGCATCTCATCTTTGGGGATCCTTCCTAGATTGCACAATGGGACTCTGTAGGTCTGCTCACACTGCTCAGTTTAAGCTCATCATGCCTCAGTTTACCCATTCATGGTGACAGTTGCCTGCCTTATAACTATAATTACTGCTGGAAACATCATTGTGTCCAGGAAGCTACAGGTGAGAGGTCTGTGGGAATCCCGGGAAAACCTAGAGAATAGTTGCTTCCAGTCTGAGGTAGAAGAGAGAAAAGAAGTAAAATTGGAGGCACTTTAGGATTCGCCACACAGGCACACGTGGACTCGGCTCCATGCTTTTGGGGCTTGGAGTCAGAGTCCTAAATATATTTAAGCCCTGAGCTCAAATGGGAGCAAATATATTTACATATGCTCCCATGGGAGCACTTATATCCTAGATAAATCACCCCAAGTGGGGAATGTAAGTTTAAACGCTGGGTTCAACCATGTCATTCCTGAGCTTGCTCCAAGAGGTATGGGTGACCCAGCGCTCTCCATTCCTGGTTTTCTGCATGTACAAATCTCCTCTAGATTTCATTCGATCCAGTAAAGCAAATTCTAAAAGGAAATGAGTGTCCAAAGCTGCCATTACCTCCGGGTCCATTAGGACCTATCTGGGCTGGATCATGAAACAACATCTACACCTGCATGAAAGCCCTTTGGGATGTGGTCTTACCATGCACATCAGGGTGGTCGCTGCTGTTCACCAGCTTGCCCGTGGTGAGAATGGCATCACTCTTCTGGGTCTGACATGAGAAGGCAAGAATCAGCAGGATATTCCTTGGTGTAAATCAGGATGGGTCCTTAGACTTGGCTGGAGCCTGTTGGTTGCAGTGACCTGAGCACATGGCTCCCCAGTTGGGTGGGTGTCTCACACCTCCAGCGTGGTGGATGGAACCATAGTGGTGGATGAGCTGTTACTTGCCTGAAAAAAAGTGTTTCGGGGGAAAATTGTCTCCAGTCATTCTCGTTTTGCATGTGATTTTTTCCTACATATGTTTCTAATCATTAAGAAATTCTGTAGCTTAAATAATGCTCTGAAAGCACGGTAACTGTTGGACTACATTCTGTTGTAACCTTATTGAATTTCACTTCTCTGGAAAAAATAATGGGATACTATATCTTGAAAAACAAATGGTAATTGCATTTTTAACAGAATGTTTCTCTTTGTGTTTCAAAACCTTCTGCACACAGTTAGACATCTAGCCAGGGAAGAAGGTACAAAGCATATGGGCCAATTTCTGTCTGTTGGCTGTTCAAGATGCCTTAATATTCAAGCAGTGATATGTGTGTGTCCATGCAATATGGCACAATTTATCTGCATGGTAGCCATAAGCTCAGGTGAGGTGGTCAAAAACTTGTGTACTGGGGTTAGAAGAAGTATTCAAGGAGGAATTTGGGAAGGTGGGTTTACATCCTGCTCCCTATTAGATGTGTGGGTGTCCATCCTTGCATTAATTCATACTTTGGGTATTTGGACCACAGAAGACCAATGTCCCTGTGTTCATGGTGCTGGCCATGAGCACAGGTTCTCCTTCCAGGTGACCACGATCTTACAGCTAAGGGTCTTGCCGAGACTGCAAAAATAGGAGTTGTCCAGCACCTTTGTACTGCCCATGCACCGCAGCAGTATGACTTCCTCAGTGCTTTGGGGATTTGCACATCACTGAGATGTGCTTCGAACTGATTTGATTAAAGCCTGGGACCCAAAATAGTGTCGTCACAACAGAGGTTGGTAACATGCTGGTGTTATTGTCTACCGAGGTTAGGAGAGCCCTGGTAATACTGGAAAGCTCTTCCCTAATTTTTAGTAAATGTGACGTGTTAAGAACTTTGTGAAGAGATGCATTTGGACATGTGAAGCTTCAAGGCAAAGTAATAGGCTTGAGGTTTCTGACTGACAAGACACATGTGAGTACATGCAAAATGTGCTCCTCCTGCTAAAAATAACATTTCTCCTGTCAACCACGATGCATCCACCCCCACAACACCACCCAGAAGAACACATTAACACCTTGGCTTTGCACGTAGCCCGATTCACAGCAGCCACAAGTGGTAGAGGGATCTGCACTCTGTGTGCATGCTGACAAATCATATGGCATAGCGAAGAACAGAGGAGTGAAACTGGGCTAGCAGAAGTTGACGCCTTATCATCACAGTCCCTTTGAGCATGCTGTAGGCTGACACCTCCACCAACCGAGTCATCTCCCCGATGCCAGGATGAAGAGCACGAGCCCACTATCCTGATTTAGCCTCTGGTAAGCAAGGCAAGGCTTGCCACACCAGGAAGGGTGGAATAGGTTCGTTGATGCAAATGTACTGTAACAGCATGGGTGCATCAGCTTGGGGACAAGCAAAGCATGTCCAACCACTGCTGCTCACAGTTGTGCTATAGTGACATGTAAATATAGACCAGTGATGTGAGATGTTTCTCCCATTAATGCCCCCCGTTTTGTGCCTAATACCATCCAGAAACTTGTAGATAATATTGCAAACCAAGAAGGGGTGGGTTGCACGTAGGTATTACGTTTGAAAAGGACTCCTGCAATAACTGAGGCGTGGATCTGTCATACAGCCTCTGTGTGTGTGTGTGTCTGCTGGCACTGCAGTCACCAAGGCAATGAAAGACATGGACAGCAAAGCTTTTAGAAGTGGTGAAAGACTAGATTTTTCAATAATTATTTCCTATGAAATAATAATTTTTTTTCCTGCAAAATTAAAGCTTTCTGCTAAAATATTAAGGACAATAAAAATTTACCATTCTTTTGAACTTCTCACTGTAATTTCTAGGCAAATAATTTGAAAAATCATCAGTGACAGTTTTGCTTCAGTGCAAATTTTGATTGTTTGCACAGTGAATCTCTTGAAAGAGGTGGAAACAAGTTGTAGCTATAATATTGGCAGGTGATGTGAGGTTGATTCTTGGTCAGAGAGGTCACTGTCGGTCCACTGCAGCCTTTCCCTGGGACAACATGTAGCTTTATTCAAAGGAGATTGTCAGAAACCCCAGGAGATTTAAATGCATAAATTCCAGTCTCTCCTCTAGCTGGCAAGCACATGAGCCTACATTCTCACCCTTAAAATTAAGCTCCTTTAACTCTCATTTAAGTGGTTAGGCAGAGCCCTGGGCTCTCGTAGTGCTTCCCTTGTCTGAACTTCCCCTGATGGCTCTGGCAAAGCCAGGCAGGCTTTGAAGGATGCTGAAGGCACCCAGTCCTTTGCAGATGGTGCTTAGCACTTAACAGGATCAGCCCCTTAGTGACTTGTATGGTGCCCATCACCTCAGATGCCTTACTGGTTTTTATATTATGCAATGCCCACCATATGGAATTAGCCAAGTAAGCTGCTTTCTCCCAACCTCAACTGTTTGTAATGCTTATAATCCCAGATAGGTGTCTGTATAAAGGAGTTCCTTGTTAAGTGCAGGAGGGAGCAATATTCTTCCATAAGAAAATTAGGGAGCTGACAGACATCTAAAGCTAAAGGTTCGCAGGATTGTTTTTGTCCGGCCAAATGTTTTGCAGTTTTGGGGTTGGTTTTGGAGATTCCAGTGTTTAAATGTAGTTATTCAGCAGGTGGTCTGGCAGTAGCTGTACATGAGAAAACAGCTCGCCCATGGCAAGTCCTGTCCCCAATAAGTTATCAGCATTTTAGGTTGTTTTGTTTTCTTTCCAGTCCTTTCTTACTCCTATTCTAGCAAAAGTAACACCAGCAGCAAATACCTTCCTGGGATGAAAATCTGAGTTCATCAGCCAAGATGGAGCTTCAGATTTGGCCTGGTTTGGTTTCCCTCTTGGAAAAGCTGAATGTTTGGATTCTTTTGGTGGCTCTGGTCACATTTCTTTTGATTATTGACCTTGTGAAAAAGAGACGACCCAGGAATTTCCCTCCAGGCCCACAGCTCTTTCCTCTTGTGGGAACCATTGTGGACCTTAGGCAGCCCCTCCATCTTGTGCTGCTGAAGGTAAGCGTTCCAGAAACATTTCTCCTACTAACAGTATTTTACCTCTTCAGTGACTTTTGTCACCAAACCTGTGACGCAATGGCAGCCTCTGAAGAACTACCTATATAGTAGCCATGTAATAGGCACCCTTCTTCTTTTTACCTCTTACTATCATCTCCTCTTCCATGGGAGTAGGAAGTTCCAATGGGAAAGAAACTCGTAACAGAGGAAGACTTCTATGTTCGTCCTCTTTTTTCCCATCTGACCATCACCGTTTTCTGTTGGAGCCCAGGAAGGGTTTGGAGGGGCCGGGCCAGGCTGGGGGATGTATGGCAAATGCTGTGTGAGAAATGAACTGTTTGGATTGTGAAGATCACCTCTGGAAATCATCTTGTCGTTGTCCTTGCTCGGTGGCCAACGATTTGCCCCATTAGATCTGAATGAAACCTTTAAGGCCCTGAGTTGACCATCCCTGTTGCAGAAAGAGGCAGTGATTGCAAGAGTGGAAGGAGAATTTGCTGACTGCAAATGTCCTTTCCAGTGACTTTATCTCTTGCTTTTACTTAGCAGGCTGACACCAGTCTAACTACTCTGGATTTTAACAGGCCACTAGCACAGTTGTCCCCCAGGAAGGGAACCCTTGGGGCAGGCTGAGGCAGCATGCTCAGGATGTTTTGTCACATATACACACAATTACTACTAATAAAATTAACCACACACAATGCCTGAGACACCCCTTTGGTCCCAGACTGGTTTCATGAGTTACCACAACAGTTCAGGGTGACCACGTGTCTCCTTCATGCAGACTCACACACCTCAGCAGAGTGAGGTTTGAGAGATGATACAACCAGCCTTTGTTCTTATACATCAAGGAGTTGAAGGCTGCAAAGAGGACACTAATGCTAGCAAAGTCCATGCAAGGAAAATGGCCATAATTTGGCCATAGATGCATTCAAGCTTAAAATTAGATTTCTAGCCACCACCAGTTGGACCCACTTTTCTAAATGGGATAGCTGAAGCAAGAAACCACACTACGCTAGACACAAAGTTGATGAAAGGGATTATTTGTTTTGCTTTGCCCTCTGCAGCAAGAGCCTGGGCATGGTGACCTCTTGTACCCTTGTATATAAAACATATAAGAAAACCCTCTCTCCCACACTACACTCTAGCATTTTTTATGCCATCTCCAGCCTTCATAGAATGGATAAGCTTGAATGGGACCTATGGAGTTGGATTTGAGTTTTTCTTAAGTCCCTTTGCTCCAAACAGGTCTAAATTCAAAGTTAGATGCTATTGCTTGAGGTCTTGTCCAGATGAGTTTTGAAAATCTCCACCTTCTTTCTCTCAGAGGCTGCTGAACTCTCTTTCAGCTTACTGCTCGGTACGGGAACATCTTCAGCGTGCAGTTTGGAAGCCTGACTTTTGTGGTAGTCAATGGGTACCAGATGGTGAGAGAAGCTTTTGTCCACCAGGCTGAAATATTTACAGATCGGCCAAATATTCCACTCCTCCAAGAAATATTTAGAGGCTTTGGTAAGCGCAGCTGGTAGGATTTTGGTGCAACTGTTTCATCTATTTGCAGTGATAACAATTAGAGTGAAACAAACAGGTTGAATTCGGATCTTGCTGACTGCACCCATAAAAGCTTGCACAGAGGAAGGCAGTAACTGGATTCAGTCTCATAATCTCACAGGTATACCTTTTAATCTCTCTAATAGTGGTAATGATGGGATCAAAGTCAGATCCTGATAAAAGAAGAGAAACAAATGCAAGCTGCCCACTGATTGATACACGTGAAGAGTTTTCCCCTTGGTTTTAATTTCTCCTTTACTTTTTCTCCATCGGTTGCATATAGCTCCAGAGACAGGGTATGGTGCTCCTGCTTGCAACTCTGCCAACAGCGTGATAGTACTCATAGTATTTTGGCTTACACTTTTTTTTCCCACACAAAGTGACAAAGTAGCAGATTAAAGCAAATCCATAAAGCTAGATCTTTAGCATAAGCCAATTACTCTTGAATTTTAATTCCCAAGCTATAGTTTTTCCTTGTCTGTGGGGTTTGTTTGCTTTGGTTTGGGGTTTTTATTCAAGGTGAAAGGCCACTTCTGAATCCTATTATTCATATGCTCCACTCCCAGCAGTGTTCAAGGGCAGGTTGGGCAGAGCTTTGAGGAACCTGGTCTAGTGGAAGGTGTCCCTGCATATGGCAGGGGGTTGGAACTAAATGGTCCTAAGGTCCTTTCCAACTCAAACCATTCTATGATTCTATGTGACCCAGAGCAAGATTAGTTTGCTTATTTTTTCTGCCTATAGGGCTCATATCATCAAATGGGCATATTTGGAGGCAACAGAGAAAGTTTACTTTAGCAACACTGAAAAGCCTTGCTGTAAGTTTTGAGGAAAAAGTGCAAGAGGAGAGCCGGTACCTTGTGGAGACGATTGAGGAGGAGAAAGGTAGGTGGTTAAGGTACAGCACCATGTCCAAACCTTCCAACTAATTGAACGATGAGTAGTAAAACTCTTACTCCGATGCAGCTCCTAACATGCAAAACTTTTCTTCGATAGCTCAAACCTTACAATTCCAGACTGTGCCTTTTAGCACTTATTTTGGACCTCAGGTCTAATATTTTAGTTCCTCCTTATTAATATTAGGCAAATATATACTAGGTGTTTATTAGAACTTGTGTGTTTATATGACTAAGAAAGTCTCTCCTATATTCTGCGAAGGAATAAATGCAGCTCTCCTGCTGTCAGGCACGTATGCTCAGAAGCTTAGTTAACCTCTGCTTGTCCTTGGTTTTGCAAAGTATTTTAAAACTTGTTTAGTCAGGCTTTCCTTTTGTATCATGCACAGATGAAGCGTGTGCATTGCTCTTTTATGGTCCAGCTTTTAAGAACTGCCAGAGCGATATTAGTAAGAATAATTTGTATGTTGGTACATGGGTGATGTTGCACTTCAGCTTTAAATAGAAGCAGATGGGGTTTAGCTAATTCTATGGAGCTATATATAGTAAACAAGAAAGATCTAAATAGGAATTGTGAAATTATATACTGAACTTGCTCCATTTTAATTGCTGTTGCATTGAACAGGCCAAATACTTCATGCTGCCAATTGATTATAGTCCTTTATAGTCCTAATCAATAAACTAATTAAGCTGCTGGTTTGGGCCTTTCTTCCATTAGTAATGACAAATAGTGATCATGTCCATCACTCTAATATCTGAGCACCAGCCCAGTTTAATTACTTTCTTGAAGCAGTCCTGTGCAGAGTGCCTTGCATTTCAAAGTGATGCTCCCCAGCATACCAACAGCAGCTCGGGGCTGGACTGGATTTGTTACTGATCCTAGTGTCTCATATCATGGCAAGTAGTTCTCCAGGCTGCCTAAATGTGCCCTAGGAGATGATAGCTCTTCCAAGGAATGATATGTGACAAACAGCACAATATAGGAGCCGATGTGCATCACCACATCTAGGGGCCATATGAGCTATTGGTGGATTTTACAGGTGGGAGCAGAGACTTGCAGTCCTCTCCCTCTCCCCTCTCTTCTCCATCTCATTTCATTTCTTTGTGGTGGACAGTTAAAGGCCAGCGCAATGGCATTTCTTCAGTGTGGTTAGTCCTGAGCTCCCTGCCCTGGGCTCAGCTTTCAGGGGCTCTGTCCTGGTGTTTAAAATTGGCACTAAAAACACATTGGAGCAGGCAAACCCGGCAGCCGTAGCGTGGCATGTTCCTGGTTGTTTTCCCTGGAAAACAGTTCAAACCCTGCTTCAGCAGCTCTGTCCTAACATCAGTGTGTACCAGCAGCCTGGGCTGGAGACAGGAGAGGATGTTCTCAGAGAAGGGATGTCACGGTTCACAGTGCCCAACCTCCAGCAGGATGCTGGAGGTGATGGGGGTGGTGGGGACACCATGGATGAAAAGTAGGTGAAGTATCATCCCATCTTCACCGCCATTGATCCGGTAGAGAATGTCATTTTGCCTGAGACTTCAAAGAAAAAAGATAAATCTGCCTTTCATTTTGTTTGCTCCAGGCCAGCCATTTGACCCTCATTATAAAATTAATAGTGCTGTTTCGAACATCATCTGTTCCATAACTTTTGGGAACCGCTTCGACTACCATGACAACCGTTTCCAGGAATTGCTGCACTCGCTGGCTGAAACACTGCTGCTCATCGGAAGTTTCTGGGGCCAGGTAAGGCCAGTTGGATGCTTTTCTAGCTTCAGCTGCATGTGAGTTCTCAGAAACCAGAGTTTCTAAGTCACTGACATAATCTGATGTTCCCTGTACAAAAAGAATCATTCTATAAGGGAAATGATGATGAGTATTGTTTTACATTAGGCTGGATTTATACACAAAATCCATCAGGAAAGCAAGGAAGCAAGTTAAAATTATTTAGGCACATGGAGATAGAACACTACAGGATTGTGAAACCAATCTTATACCTGACATAACAAAAAAAACAACAGGAAAACCTTTAAAATATCTGTTTCTACAAAAATAAGGGCCAATTAGTAGCACTCTCTGTGAAAATTCCCATCTTTTCCTCCACCCCTTTCCCAATCAGTTTCTCAAATAACTTTTATTCATGAAAAAACTGCCTGAGAGTCCAGGTTTATAACCAAAATAGGTGGATGTGGGGACATAGCTTCTGCATGGCTACACACCATCGGTCAGGTCTGACCTCTGTCCACTCTGTGGACTCCAGCACCAAGGGGAGTCTCTGAACCCACATTGATTTCTGACTCCAGTGGCCACCTCACATTAAGGTACAGCTTTGGCCACCCAAGAGAACTTTATTAGCAGAAAACAGCACGATGATTCTTATCTTGTTTGTATTTGTGCGTCTGTGTAACTAAATTGACCTTTGTAGCAAAACTGGTATTTTTCTAGTAGCAAGCAGAGCTAATAAATTGTACTGTCATCCCAACTACGACACCTGCTCTCTTCTAACTCAAGAAGAACTCTTTTGCTCTGTTTGATTTCTCACCAGCTGTATAATGCTTTTCCTTTCATCATGAGATGGCTGCCAGGACCCTTTAGGAAAATCTTCAAGCACTGGGAGAAACTTCAGTATTTTGTGAAAGGAGTGATCGCAAAGCACAAGGAGGATTTGGACCAGTCCGAGGCAAGAGATTATATTGACTGTTACCTGAAGGAAATTGAAAAGGTAAGAGGAAGATGCTTAGAAGGTAAAAGGAAAACGCTTAAAGCTCAACCCATAAAATGAGCAGACAAGCTTCAAGGCTGTTTTGTCAAAGGAGCTCATGCCTCTCGCGTTGCCATCTCCTCCCTACCTCTTCCATGCCAAACTTTTAGCAACAGCAGGAGACTGATTACTTTGAAAACACAGATCCTTTTTTTTTTTTTTCCATTTGGAAGTATTTACACTTTGTCTTCTTCCATTTTTCATTCTGTCACACGGCGTAGGAGGACTCTCAGGGAACATGTTCATGTTTCTAGGAGAGCTCGCAGGCCTGCGTTTGCTATTGTGAAACTTCACATTTGAAAATGCTACCTGCTCTCCAGACTCACTCCACAGCAACCAGGGTGTCTCTCAGAGCAGGCTGTAGGGCCTGAAATTCAATGAAAGTAAGCGGTGGAAATTTCCAAGTCTGGCGTTGTCCTGGGTTCAGCTGTTAACAGTCATTTTTCTTCCTACTTGCTGTGTTTTGGCTTTAGTCTGAGAACAACACTGATAACACACCGATGTTTTAGTTGTTGCTCAGTAGTGGCTACCCTACTTTTCAGTCCCTCATGCTCTGCCAGTGAGGAGGGGCACAAGAAGCAAGGAGGGAGCAGAAATAGGACACATGACCCAAACTAGCCAGAGGGCTATTCCATACCAGAGCACATCATGTCCAGTATACAAACTGCGGAGAGTTACCTGGAAGGGCCAGATCGCTGCTCGGGTCAGGCTGGGTATTGGTCAGTGGGTGGTGAGCAACTGTATTGTGCATCACTTGTGTTTTAATTTCTTCTCTTGTTGTTTCCTATTATTATTAGTAGTAGTAGTACCATTCTTTCTATTATCACTATATTTTACTTTATTTTAATTATTAAACTGATTATTCTTATCTCAACATGCGGCATTTACATTCTTCCAATTCTCCTCCCCATCCTGCCCTGGGGAAGGGGGAGAAGGGGTGTGGGGTGAGTGAATGGCTGCATGGTGTTGAGTTACTGGCTAGGTCTAAACCACAACAGGCATGGTGGGTAATAAACTAACAGCAGGACTTTAGTTACATCCAGGTGGTTTGGGGTTGGGTTTTTGAAAGCATCCCCTCCTCAATAAGAGAGGGATTTTCATTGCCGTTTTTTTTCCCTCAAGTCTAAGGGTGACACCAGCTCATATTTCCATGAGGAAAACCTGCTGTGCTCCACCTTGGACCTCTTCTTAACTGGGACAGAGACAACGGCAACCGCCATCCGCTGGGCTCTGCTCTACATGGCCATGTACCCCCACATTCAGGGTGGGTAGGTAGGGCTGTGGCTGGGTCCTTCATTTAGCCCCAAACTAGATAAGTGAAACCCAGAGTTATTCCCAACTCTGCCACACGTTGGCCTTGCCTGTGCCCCAGGCTTCTTCTTGGAAACCTTTTGAACACAGGCATTGTGTTGCTTTGCTTTCCATAGAGAAAGTGCAACTTGAAATCGACACGGTGATCGGCCAATCCCGCCAACCCATGATGGCCGACAAGGAGAACATGCCTTACACCAGCGCGGTGCTGAGCGAGGTCCTGAGGATGAGCAACGTTGTGCCCCTGGGGGTGCCCAGGATGTCCACCAGTGACACCACCCTGGCAGGCTTCCACCTGCCTAAAGTAAGTGGAGGCCACCAGCCTTCCCCTCGTCCCACCACAGTGGGCTCAAGTCCCAAAACCTGGAGGAGAGCCAAATATCACACTTGAATAGACAACACAAGCCCTCATGACAGATGCTGCAGAGCTGTTGTGGGCCTCATGTTCTTATGGAAGAGAATTGTGAGATCCTGTGTTGGTCATAAATTTCAACTGTAAAAGGTTTATCCTTTAACTTTTACAAAAGATGCCCTCCACACATCATGGAAATAGAGGGCCAAGAAGCACAAGAAAGCAAACAGTTTGTGTTTGTTAATTCCACAGAGTATTAAAAATCATCTATTAACAGCAGCACTTGATAAAAGCCAGGTAATAGGTATTGATGAGTACACACTGTTCTGTAATTATGAAAGCAAAGATGAGATTTATATATAACTGTTCTCTTCCATGTATATGACTCGTTGCATCAAGGAAAATGAAAAGTAAAAATTCTGGGCATTTTGCTCCACACTGCTTAGAATATCTCTTTTTCTGGTGGAAGATGTGGAGATAAACCAGATGAGGTTAAGAATAAAAGCACAAGAAAGCAGATCGATTGAAAATTAATCGGTTAAATTGTTCCAAATTCCTATGGGAACACAGTGTCACCAAATAGAACCTGGGTTACATTAACATCCCCAGTTACAGCAGCACAAGGTAAGGATCAACACTATGGTGATATATAGCGGCGCGCAGAAGTGAACAATCCCGTAGGCTTTCACCCTCATTTAATTACTCAGCTCAGGAAAAAACGTTTTGCCCTTAAAATAAATAAATAAATAGTAGTTTATATTGTATATGGAACAGAGCTAATAATAAACTAGTCTGACAACACGTCGGCTCTTCTCCATCATGTAATCGCCTGATTTCTCCACCTCTCACAGGGCACCACCGTGATGACCAGCCTGACTTCGATAATGTTCGACAAAAACGTGTGGGAGACTCCAGACACCTTTAATCCTGAACATTTCCTGGATAACGGCCAGTACAGGAGACGGGAGGCTTTTCTGCCCTTCTCTGCAGGTAGGATGATAGATGGGGAGGTGGGTTTTCCTATTGCAATGCTTTTTGCACCCCCTCAAGACACCTCCTCCAGAGCAGGGGACACTGCTCCTTCTCCAGCTTTCAGCCCATCCCCACAGTGAAAATCCCAGTAACAGTTAACACCGACTGCTCGGAGCGGGAGGGAGATCAATTTGTTATTGCAGGATGATGAAATAAGGCTTTTTCCTCTTGCGCAAGCTGCGCAAATGTTGTTTTCTTTCACTGCGTTCCCCCTCTCGGTCTCTCCGCGCTCAGCAGTAAACTTGTGGGGAAGGTTTGTGCAGGATGTGTGGGTGAACATTGCCACCTAACCTTTCGAGGAAGAAAAGCTCCCGCAGCCTGCGCAAAGCAGCGCATGCGAGAGGAGCCCGAGAGGTGGTTGGAGCTCGCTCGGGACTCAGTGGGGGTTATTTCGGCTCCTTTTCCAGGTAAGCGTGCTTGTCCCGGCGAGCAGCTCGCCAGGACCGAGCTCTTCATCTTCTTCACAGCCCTCCTGCAGAAGTTCACCTTCCAAGCACCAGCAGCTGCCACACTGACTTTCGCCTTCACACTCAGCCTCACACGCTGCCCCAAGCCCTTCCAGATCTGTGCACTGCCTCGTGATTAACGCCAGCCTGGGGCTGCCCCGTGACCCGCTGCTTCCCAAAGTGTCCCTCTCTGCCCCATAGATTTGGGTCTGGAATGATGGGCCACAGAAGCCTAACACCCACCAACATGTGGGTGGCAGTGAGCAGCGAAACTTGTAGAGACTTTTTCGACTTATGTGACTGAGCATTAAGGCTTAGAAATGCAGTTTCCTGTGTGCTTATGTTTGGAATATAGACATAGCAAAAATTGCTTTTTGATCTCTTTTCTTCTCACCTTCCAAAAGTTACTTTTCTCTGGACACTCACGTAGGATTCTGAATGGTTAACAGGAAGAGGATTAAATACAGTTCCGTTTCCTCTGGCTTCAGCCTCCCACTCTGGCTTTGCTTTGCTGCACTACAAAGCAATCACTGTGCAGTGGCAGATTTATGCCACAGGGGAGAGTCCTTTGCACATCATATCCCTGCCACGCCGGGCACTCGGGGTTTTCTCAATGAGCTGCTGCTCCTCTAACTGGTCACTTTAATCCCACTGCAGTTTGAATTCATGGTTCGCAGTTACAGGCTCCCGTGGTTGGGGGTTTTCTCTATAAATCAGAAAACATAAAAGATCTGTGGGCTTTTCTCACCTGTGAAGTTTTCAAAGCCATTCAGGACTAGGCACTGGTTTCACTCTGGCATAGGTCTGACCTCTGGTTTGACACTACAGCTTGTATTATTTGCACTGGTTTAGCAAATAAATGTTGATCCTCTTCCATTACAAACTTACTTTTCTCTGCCACTTTAGGACTTCCTCCCCTGCTCATGGAGGAAATAAATGATAGAAGTGTCCTTTTTCTTGGGAAAAAACGCACCCTTCTCCCCCCCCCGTTTTTCAGTGTAACGATCCCATAGCATAAAGGCAGGAGGCATGAATTTGTTTGTTCTTTTGAGTGAAATATCTCATGTGAGTGAAGGGGAACACACACATCTCCACAGGCTCATGCCTAAGTATGCTTAAAAGACAGAGGTAAAAAGAGGTAACCTTTGAAGTTCCACAATAAAACTGTGAGATGGGGTTTTTCAGCCTGGAGAAAAGAAGGCTCCTTAATGGGAGACCTTAGAGCAGCTCCAGTGCCTAAAGGGGCTCCAGGAAACCTGGAGAGGGGCTTTGGACAAGGGCCTGTAGGGACAGGCCAAGGGGAAAGGGCTTTAACCTGACAAACACCCCTGCTTCGTTCACAATAAAACACCACACATACAGACATCAAAATTCAATGCATTGTATGTATGTGCAAGAGCAACTTCCTGTCCCAGAGTCACTCTCAGATGGCAAAATTCAGCACAGCCTGTTACGAGCTCCCCCAAAGGGCTGCAGCTTCTGGGCATCTGCTTTGGCTTTTCAGCTCCTGCCTTAGCTTTGTTGGGCTTTCAGCAGCTCCAGCATGGGCAACAGACTCAAAGGCCAAAGCAGGTGAGAAGGGATGGCTGGAGGGCTCAGGGCAGGACCAGCCTCATGGCTGGAGAAGGTCTTTCTGCTTACTCTTATCCACCAGAGGTCATAAAATTACCATGCTTAGAACCCACTGCAGCTCTTGGACAGCTGTTGGCTTCCAGCCCACATCACACTGACACCCTGAAACCTCAGCCCGTGACTCAGATGGTGGCTTGTGAAAGGTTTGTGCAACCTTATCTCGAGTGCCCCCCCTGCCCTGGGGTGTGGTCTGAGACTCCCTGTACCAGTGAAAAGAGCTTCCACAAACAAGGAAAACACGAGGTGCTCAAAGCGGCTGGAGACTCCCCGGCACTGGGAAACCAACACCAGGACACAGCACGGTGAGGGCACCATGGGGAGGGGAGAGCAGGGCTTGTGCTGAGCTATGGGCTGGTGGCAATGGCACAGGGAGGCTGATAGAAGGTTTTAATCTTGGCCCTGTGAAGCTTGTTTCTGTTCTTTGGACAAAGACGTGGATCACAGGGGGTTTGTAAAGCAGTGGTGGGAGGCCAGAGGGGAAAGGGAGAGCGGGGGGTGTTTTGGTTTTTGTTTTTTAATGAGATCAGAGGAAATGCTTGAGTTTAATCAAGAAGGGCATTAATCAAATCGTCTGTGCTGAAACCTGGGAAAGCAGGAATCCAAATGAAACCTCAACCCAGGTCAGCAAAAGCTGCTTCATGCTGTCTCATGTTGTGCCCACAGCTGTGCCAGCGCACTGCCCATCTTCCCCTGTCCCTGGGGGTTCAGTGGTGCTCCGTGAGCTCGATGTGCCCTGACCCCACCATCCACCCATGCTGCACTTCCTCTGGGAGAGCATCTCTTTCCAGATGCTCCTTGTCTTCTTCTTTGTCTTCCTCCTCGTCGCCGACTACATGAAGCGCAGAAAGCCGAAGCACTTCCCTCCCAGCCCTTTCTCCCTCCCCTTTCTGGGGCACGTCCATCTGATGAACCCCAGCAATCCCCAAGCCATGGTGCAGAAGGTACAAGGGATGTGGGCACCTCAAGGAAGGGGATGGAGAGGATTGGAGCTATGCAACCTTTGCAGTGTGGGGAAGGGGTTAAACCAGCTTTTAACCAAAACCCTATGGCCCATGAGGACTCAGAGGAGCAAAACCCAGGGCAGGTAGAAGGTTTGCCCTCAGTTAGCAGCAATGTGTATGAAGTTTGCGTGGGTACGAGGCAGTGGGGGAATGTGTGGAGTGATTGGAAGGGTGTTTGGGGAGCGAGTGAAAGAAAAGCTAGAAAAACACAGGACTGAAAAATCAAACCTGGGGAGTTTCGCTTGATTTATGGCCAATTAACACCAATTCCTGATCAGTAATTCAGGAAAAGAGGAAATAAGAAGAGACAAATACACAGGGAAGCAGACACTTGTGCAAACATACCATCTCCCTCCCTCTCTGTTTCCCTTATTCTCATCCGTGTCCCCTGCCAGGGCTGTCTCTGTCCCAACAGACACATTCACTGCTGATGAAACCCCTTTTCTTTATTCCCCCCCCTTCCCAGCTTACTGAAAAATACGGGGACATCTTCAGCTTGCAGATGGGAGATATGACGTTTGTGTGCGTAAATGGGCTGCGTATGATTAAGGAAGTTCTTGTAAACCAAGGAGACAACTTCATGGATCGCCCTGAAATTCCTATCGACAAGGAGGTCTTCAGCAGCTTGGGTGAGTTATCCCTCAGGTCAAAGCATTGGTCCTGCAGAGGTCCAAGACAGCTGAGATAAGGGAGAGCCCTGAAGCTTTTTCCCCTTGGTGAAGGGATCTGCCTTGGCTCATGGTGCGGTGTTCCTGCCAGGACTGGTCTCCTCCAATGGGCACTTGTGGAAGCAGCAGAGGAGGTTCACCTTGACCACCCTCCGAAACTTTGGCTTGGGGAAGAGGGGCCTGGAGGAGCGCATCCAGGAAGAGTGCCAATACCTTGTGGATGTGTTTCGGGAAGAACAGGGTGAGTACCATGGCCTTCATAAGTTGTGCTGAAGGCAGGAATTGGTATGGCCCATTATAATTTCATCCATGATTCACCATATACTGAAAAATACCTCGCCTCACAAATGATGCTAGCACCCCGGCATCTCCCTTTTGCAGGTACTTTGCCTTCAAACTGAATAGTGAACGCAGCTAGGTAACACCCCAAGTGTAATTCAAAGCCCACCTTCAGCCTACTGCTCTCCTGAGATCCCTGGAAAATCGTGTGTGTGTAAACACCAGTGTTTCCAATGAATTCAAATGATGTCCGTTCTGCTTTGGACAGTAAACAACCATCTTCACTATCCGACTGAACTGGGACCACTGGAGCTGCCCAGCCAAGCTTGGCCAGCTCATGGGGGCAGCAAAGCCGGGAGAGCAGTGACATAGGAATGGTGCCCATCGAGGTTCCACTGTCCTTGGTTTGACTGTCCTGGGGTTAAAGCCACAACAGCCACTCATTTCACTCACATTTACTGAATATTTTATCTCTGACAGCTGTGTTTTCTTCTTTTCTCTGAAGCCTGGAAATGAATCGATCATTCCCTTTTTCTTCTCCAGGGAATCCTTTCAACCCTCGCTGTAAAATCAGTTACGCTGTTGCAAACGTCATCTGCTCTGTCACTTTTGGCAGTCGATTTGACTACCACGATGAGGAGTTCCAAAACCTGCTGCAGGTGTTGAACGAGACATTTCTTCTCCACGGGTCCATCGTGAGCCAGGTACAGCCGTCCTGCCACCAACATGGATGGTGTGCAGTTCTGCAGGGTCATACTTTCTTCTCTGGAGTCAACCTCTAAACCTGTATCATTCGCACCACCAAATGTTGTTGCCGTTCCCTATTCCATTGCACAGGGTTAGATTTGCCTGTCATTTCTTCCTGCCTTATTTTCAAGCTGTGCATGTTCATGTTGCTCTCTTTGACCCCACTTCATCTTTCCTGCCCATAAACTGCCAACCTGCCTGCTGTAACACCGGGTGATGCACAAGTCACTCTGTCATAGGAATACCAATCCCCTGTAATGCTCTTCTGGAGCCAAGCTATTTCCACCACTTCTAGTCATTTATTAAGCACGGCCTTGCAGGCTCCTCAAGTTTTGATAACAGAAGGGGTTTTTTTCAGTTGTTCATTAAATGTGCCTTTCTCCATTGTGTCCAAAGCTGTACAACGCTTTCCCGTCTATACTAAAGTTCTTGCCTGGACCCCACCAAACCATTTTTAAAAACTGGAAGTGGATGCAAAGTTTTGCACAAAAGAAAATTGACAAACACAAGGAAAATTGGAACCCCTCGGAGAGCCGGGACTTCATCGACAGCTACCTGCAGGAGATGGCCAAGGTCAGCAATGCAGAGCAAGCCCTTCTGCAACTGGGCTTAGAAATCAGGAGGGATGAGAAATCATAAAATGGTTTGGGTTGGGAAGGACCTTAAGATCATCCAGTTCCAACCCCCTGCCATGGGCAGGGATGCCTCACACACCATGTTGCCCAAGGCTCTGTCCAACCTGACCTTGAACACTGCCAGGGATGGAGCATTGACCACTTCTTCGGGCAACTTGTTCAGTGCCTCACCACTCTCACAGTAAAGAACTTCTTCCTTATGGCTAACCTGAACTTCCCCTAAGTTTAAACCCATTGGTTCTTATCCTGTCACTACAGTCCCTGATGAATGAGTCTAAATTCTTCATCTGAGCTGCCTGCGTGGCCATTTGTGAGCTTAATCATCAGGGTGGATATCAGGTTCATGGCACCCATCAGTGGGACAGAAATGCAGAGTGGCAGCAGCTCTGCTGAAATCCTTGGGACTGGCTTTTACTATCTCACCTTTTTGTGCAGGACACCAACAGCACCTTACAAGAGGAAAACCTTGTGGCCTGCACACTTGACCTGCTGATAGCTGGGACTGAGACCACTTCCACAACTATCCGTTGGGCTCTGCTCTTTATGGCCAAATATCCAGAAATTCAAGGTACAATTATCAAAAGCTCAGTGTTTTTCCTTGCTTTTTGTGCTGACACCTTCATGAGAGACTCTCTTTTTTTGAGGTCCTTGGGGGACCCTCACAGCAACCACCTTGTTCCAAGGGCATTTCTTCTTGGATCTTGGCTGATCCCTGCTCTTTCCCACCAGCCCGTGTGCAAGCAGAGATCGATGCGGTCATCGGACAGGCACGGCAGCCAGCCCTGCAAGACAGAAACAACATGCCCTACACCAACGCCGTCATCCACGAAGTGCAGAGGAAAGGTAACATCATCCCATTCAATGTGCCAAGGCTGACAGTGAAGGACACATTCGTGGATGGCTACCTCATACCAAAGGTAACCCTGCTCATGAGTGCTGAGACTTCAGCAAGCAACTCCCAGCTCCCCAGGCACTATTCCCCACGGCACAGCCATGGCGTCTCTGCCCTGTCCAGAGTTCAGTCCCAATAAACACCTATTTTTGCCATCCAAGAAATATTTGCTAGCACATTGAATGATATAGAGCACTGTGGGCAACGCTCTCCCCACAGACACCATCAAGGCACAGATTCCATCTCATACCGCTGTTACAGGAACTTTGACGCAAGGTTACAGCAGATAAAAATGATGCTGATAAGGGAAAATTGAGGGTATGTAATCATTGTACCTCAGAACAGACAAGAAGTAGGAAAAACTGCCTGTGCAGGGGGATGTTGGACAAGTAACTGCAGCATAATTTGACTAAGGCTGTTCTTCATGGAGAGGAGACTAGAAGATAAAAATGCTCCTCCTCCTGTCAGCAACAGAAGAAGTGCAATTTGTTTTTCTTGTTCTCTTCTTAGGGCACTGTTATGGTGACAAGTTTAACCTCTCTGATGCTTGACAAGAACGTGTGGGAAACCCCTGACGCTTTTAACCCTGGGCATTTCCTGAAGGATGGTCAGTTCTGGAAAAACGAGTATTTTATGCCATTTTCTATAGGTAAGATCTGCTGGATTGTGACATTGTGAGGCAGTGGGATGGGGCTTCTAACTGCACAGTGGAGACACAGAGGAAAATAGCAATGGAAAGGGCAGACATTGGCTGCACACTGGGAGGTGTCACTCAAGCAGTGCTGATGTGGCCACACCAAAGCATCGCAACAACACCGGGCCCTTTCTTGTCCCTCTTCTTGTCCCATCCACAGAGATGAGGATGAATAAAAGACCATAAAAATGCCAGAGACCCTAGAAACACCTTTACCGAGGCAAGAGCATCACCTTGTGCTCTGTCTCCCACATGGCTGGGTTCACTTAGGGACTCCACTGTTACAACCACAGGGTACCCCAGCCAAGAGCTTCCGCACAGACATTGCTTTTAGCACCCCTGTTTTCCATACCAGCATCATACACCTTCTCTGGTAGTTCTCTTTGGCATAGCTCATACAAACCGCTTCCAGCATGGACATATCCAGACTATGCGTGTCACCGCAGCTTATCCAAGCATGGGAGGCTACAACACATATTCAGTTACATACACATGCCCTCGCGGTGTCATTCAATGCAGGGGGGCAGCCTATGCTGTAACACAAGCACCAATATTGGGGTGCCCAGTTTGGGCTGCAAAACTCATCCTGGGAAGGAGGTAACACAGCTGCACCATAGTCCTAATGGAAGGCAGAGGCTTTTTCATCAGCTTGCACAGGGGGGTGGAGTAGATGACCTTTGAATGTCCCTTCCAACCCAAACTATTCTGTGATTCTATGATGTGGCTGTCTCTACAGGGAAGCGTTCCTGCCTGGGTGAGCTGCTGGCCCGTGCCGAGCTCTTCCTCTTCTTCACAGCCCTGCTCCAGAAATTCACCCTCCAGGCACCCCCAGACACCACGCTCAGCCTCGAGATGCAACTGGGCATCACAGTGGCCCCACGGCCCTACAAGATCTGTGCCGTGCCTCGGTAGGGGAGCCTTGGCCGCTGTCCTCACTGGGAAAAGCCTTTGGCAGGGATGAGCACACAGTAGCTTCGCTGGGTGGTGGCAACAACTGCCCACTTCCTGTTTGTTTCTCTTAAATCAGTTGCAAAATCAGATCTTTCACAAGCAGACCTTGCACTCTGTAGCACATGAGAATGATGAGCCTGGGATCTGCCAGGGCGCTTCTAGGCTTGCCCTATGGCACTGTAAAGGAACTGGGGGCTTGGGGCTCCCCTCATTTTATGATGGATGGCCATGCTTCACAGGGACAAGAGAATGGGCAACATTTCAGAGGTTGCAGTGTTCAGGCTGTGGCTGTGTACGGTGGAAGAGCAGAACCACCCCTGTGTTATAACATTAATACAGGTATTAATCGCTAAGATATTTTTGATTTTATTATCACTGACAAGTAATCCATTTAAACGAAAAGTCACTCTGTAACGTCTCTCTCTCATGCATCAATAAAACCTTACTACATTTCTGTCATGAAGCATTCTTCAAAGCGCAGACCAACACTGGCTGTAGCCCCAGGTTTCAGGGCAAGGGATAGCAGGGGGACTGCAAGCCCACCCAGGCAGAGGCAGCAGCACAGCAGCCAACCCACATTGCTGCAGCATTGCTCTCCATCAGCAGAAATGTTGGCACTGTAACAGCAAAGGCAATTCCTACAGAAGTGGTGAAAATAAAGGACCCTGACAGTAGAAGTGAACTAGCAGGGAAACCATCAAAGCCTATGGCCAGGCCCTGGTGTGCCACAGCAATTACATGTGTAACACCCCGACAGATGTTTTAACATCTGTACTTTTTGCCATAGAAGTTGTGCATCCTGGCTCTTAGAATATACTAAACTCTTCCTGTTTACCTGCCCATCAGCCCAGTGGCTGATGTGCCCGGAAGGGTGAGCTCCAGCAACACACAGTGCACAGCTGCACTCAACAACCTAAGGAATAAAAGGGTCCCATGGAAAATACAGCAAAGAATTGCTATTATTTTAAATTATTACCAAATGCACCTGTCCTATGGAGACAGACTGAGAGAGTTGGGCTTGTTCAGCCTGGAGAAGGCTCCAGGCCTAAAGGGGAGACTTGAGAGCAGCTTCCAGTGCCTAAAGGGGCTACGCAGAAAGCTGAAGAGGGGCTTTTGTAAGTGCATGTAGTTATAGACAAGGGGGAATGGATTTAAACTGACAGAGGGGAGATTTAAATTAGATGTAAGGAAGTTCTTGCCTGTAAGGGTGCTGAGGTGCTGGCACAGGGTGCCCAGAGAAGCTGTGGCTGCCCCATCCCTGGCAGTGTTCAAGGCCAGGTTGGACACAGGGGCTTGGAGCAACCTGCTCTAGTGGAAGGTGTCCCTGCCCGTGGCAGGAGGTTGGAGCCTGATGAGCTTCCAATACAAACCAGTCTGGGATTCTGCGACTCTAAGGTGAAACCATTCCAAGATTGACAACCAATGGTTAACACCAGTAAAGGCATGGACTCAGGAACAGTTGCATCCTGGGGCCCTGGGAAGGCCTCCAGGTGAAGGAGCTGCAGCTCCTGGGAACAGGACAGAGGCCACAAGGCAGAAAGGCACCAGCTCAACAAGCACCACTGACACACACCTCCAGCTCCTGCTCACCTGCTGAGGAAGAAAGGAGAAAGCAATCTTTTCCTGTTCATTTCCAGTTTTTCCTGGAGTACTGTTCATGTGTTCCTATAGGAAGCAAATTTTTCCTGATGTCTTACGAAAACTTAAGTCATCTGCTGCAGGAATTAACGGCATCTTTTTTCAGCAAACATGAATGCCAAGGTGGGTTTTAAATCCTTTCATTTTAACTTGCATTTTCTTCTCCTCTGAGCACAGAGGGGAGGAACCAGAGAAGGCTGGGATCACCCTTGGGCCCCACCACTGCATACTGGGGCCAAGCACAGCTGTACAACATAAAGCTAGATTTATAGAAGGTGAACACAGCTTCTGGCACAGCTCCTTCAAGCACAGGGCTTGAAGGGGAGGCTCTCTGTCCCCCCCCCCAGCCTCCTCGTTTCTGTGCCAGGCACAGCCAGGTGGAAATAAGAGGTTGGATTAAAATGCTGTTTCTGGCACCTGAGGCTCCTGTTTTGCAGATCCATAAGGTGGAGATGGGAGAACATGTGGTGGGAACCAAACCAACCTATTTATAACATGCAGGACACTTGACTAGGTTCTCATTAGAAGTGAGATGAGACATCCCTAACCCCAGCTCTCTACCCCTTCTTGCCCCACACACCTGCCCTGCTGAGCTGCTCCTGGCACAGGGATCCCACATCTTCCCTTCACAGTAAAAACAAGGAAGTTCATTTGACTTTCTAGACCTTATGTTCTTTCTTTTCCTTCCTTAGAAGAAGCAGAAGGGGAAGGCTGGAAGTGGGCTGCGTGCCTGGAATCAACAGAGAGGGGAACAGTGACAAGTTTGTTGTGCACAGCATTGCTCCCACAGCACTTCCAGCTTGCAGGTGTTATCTATTGGCTCAGATTCCCATTTCCTTTCCCAGGCTGCTGCTATACCCAAAAGCTTCCTCCCCCTCCTCCGTGGGTCTCTGCTGGGTTAGCAGCACACTCTGCAATGAACACATTTCACAGGGCTGTTTTGCACAGGGGCTCCAGGAATATTTTATATTCTCCACAGAACCATTTCCCATGGCAAGGTCTGGCTGACCTCACCTCCTCTCTCCCTTTCTTTGCACCGTGCTCCTCCACCTCTCCTCCAGTGACACCCCTTGCCTAACACCACCAACCTTCTGCTTGGCTTGTAAGGAGCTACCAGAACCATAGAATGGTTTGGTTGGAAGGCACCTTAAAGCTCACCTAATTCCAATCCCCTGCCACAGGCAGGGACACCTTCCATCAGACTAGGTTGCTCCAAGCCCTTTCCAACCTGGCCTTGAACACTGCCAGGGATGGGGCAACCACCATTACCAGAAAAAGTCACAGTGAAGAGTCACAGACCCAGGCTCTGCAGAAGCAGTCTGCATTTGAACACAGGTTCCTATGACCAAGCACTTGGAATGAGATGATGAGATCGCCTACACACACCACCCCTTGCTTGCTCCTGTGCAGGCAGCAGTGGCTGGCACGGTGTGTTCCCTGACTGCTCACCAACAAAAAAGTCACAGTGAAGAGTCACAGACCCAGGCTCTGCAGAGGCAGTCTGCATTTGAACACAGGTTCCCATGACCAAGCACTTGGGAATGAGATGATGAGATCGCCTACACACACCACCCCTTGCTTGCTCCTGTGCAGGCAGCAGTGGCTGCCAGTGTGTGTTCCATGACTGCTCACACACAGGCTGAAAACATCCTGCAGCTTGGCTTGGGCTTCCTGCACAGCTGAAAGCCTCTTCCCTTCCCTCCTGCCTCAAACACACACCTGCAGTTTTCATTCTTCAGTGTCTGGGAATACTTTTACATCCAGCCTCAGAAAGAAGGAAAAATGGTTCTTCTGTATCTGGACACTTCACAGTCACTTGGAACACTTCTGCCAGTGCAAAGGCCCTTCCACATAGAGGTATCACACAGCTCCCCATCCTCACAGGGGTAGCAGCCCAAGGCAATAAAAATCAGTACTTACCAAAGTCAGGATAGTCAGGTTCAGAGAAAGGGAAAACCTGTCATAAAAGCAGGTCTGAAACCAGGCACAGCAGACTGAAGGGAGTAGTCAGTTTTCTTTTCCAGGTAATAACAAGGAGGGTGATTTAGAACCATATACCTGTCCTCTCCAGCCTCTTAGCTGGGGTTGAGGAGAGTAGGTAGAAACCCTGACTGAGCAGAACTGTATGGGGGAAATGAACTGAAGAGAGGAGGGGAAGGCAGTACAACTGACTTGTTGTTACAGCAAAACATACAAAAAGTGACACATACATGTTACAGATCCTGTAACATGACATTTCAGATGGTTCAATGATATCTACGTGCAGACCCAGCTCATTATGTTGCCCAGAAATACAGATACATCATGGTAACCACAGCTAGGGACCATTAAATACATTGCTTGGAATAAAGACACCATAGAATTGATTTTAAAAATCTTTATGTGAATATAAAAGAATTCTTTCCAAAGAAAAAAATAAACCCAAAAGTTTAAAAATTAGTGCAATTTTCCAAGTTCTATGCAACACAGTGTTTACATTTGTTTTAAACAGAAGATGTAGACACTGATACACTGAAAACCTGAACTCTAGCTTCACTAGTAGGAGATAAGGGGAAAAAGCGTAAGAGTTAAGAAAATTATCTTAGTACACATTACCAACTCCTGAACAATCATTTTCATTTTCTAATTCCTAAACTATTTATGGCCACCTAAATAAAACATCAGTATTGCTTATATTACTTATTTCCAAGTAAGTGTATATTGTAGAAAATAGAATACCCATATATATATATTTTAATGAACAAGAAAAATCAGGTGAAAACTTATTTTCAGTGACTGTTTCTCAATCCACTATAATACAGTTGTTGCAAAAGAATCTTCTCAAAACTGCTGCCTGATCCGCCTTGAATAAAAGAACCTACTAGTCCAAAATTTGTATTATTGCTAGAAAACACTTCTCTTCCACAGTAATTAATATTATATAAAAAAATATTCACAAATGATATGTCAATCAGAACATTTTTGTTTCTTTGGATTTATATTACCCTTTTTACTGGAAACTGGCTAAAGTTACTGATAAAGCTGATTAACTTCAGCAATAGTCAATGATTTCATCTCATAATTGTAATCTGTTCCTAACTGTGCTGTCTAAGCATGATACGAATTCATCTTGCAGAGAGACAAGTAACCTCTTTCTTTGTCCCGCCTCACATTGCATCAAAGAATCTTGTACTGATGTTGTGCTGCTGCTCCATGTTGCATACAACTCAGCTGCAAGACAGCAACACTATTAGTACATTTATGTGACATAAATGAAGTTAATATTGATACTTATTCTAATGATCCTTTCTGCACAGCCAGATGAGCTGAGGGGAATACAACACCATGGCTTATAATCAAATATTTACTTCTGCAGATTGGTTCCTCATTCATAGGATGTAACCCAAGTTTAACCAGTTACAAACCAGTCACTCTTAAACAGGTTCTCAATCCCAAAGAAACACTTAAGTTATATTCACAGGCTTAACTTCTAACAGTTTGGAAAAGTCCCAAATAAGCAACATTTCATCTAATACCTGAAAACTTGATTTATTTTTGGCAACTCCAACAGGACTACTGGGGACAACCTTTCTCTGAAGAAGGCTGATCCCTGTCCTTAGTTCCATTGCTAGTCAGAAGACAAACTTGCAGTTGAATGATAAGGAGGTTCTTGGTCATTTTTGGTCCCAGGGTCTGCAGTTTTGAGAAGTCTACAAAGACATCTGCTCCAAGTTTTTCACTATTCAGCACCCAATGTGACTACTGACACAGCTCTACTACCGTGAGAAGTACAACAAACGCATCAAGCCTACTAACTACATGAGTATTTGAAAGATGTCCGTGAAAGTTTCCATGCTGTGAAGAACAAGGGTTAAGAGACCCACTCAACACCATCAGAGACAGTTTCACATTTCACCAGAACACACCAAAGTACCAGGCTTTAGAAATATAAGCATCTTGCTAAGACTTAGTCTCCTGTTCCACTGCTCACCACCACCTCCCACACCGCTGGCAGATTAAACAAGCAATTGTACCTTAAAAATAAAAACAACATCAGTGCAGCAATAAAAGACCTCAAAACCCAAGAGGTAGTCCAAAGAAGCATAAAGTCCTGAAGAACACAACCTGACAGACAAAACCCTTCAACGACAGTTTGTCTGGCATATTCTCTACTCATACCACATTTAGCATGAGACTGGCTTTAAAACAATGCCTTGTGTAGACAGGAGGTTTGAAAGAGGAAGTCTGTTGAATGCCTAAATATACAGCACTGTAAAACTATCACAACTAAGAAGCAATCTTAACTCAGCATTAAAAATGAATACTTCCCTCTTCTCTTTGCATTGCATTGTATGCAATGCCCAATAAATAATTTAAGATACTGGGGAAGGAAGAAATCAAACAACAAGCCATGCTGAGGGGCATGCAAAATGGAAAACTACTCAGATTTCACAATTCAAAACTTAAACCCTGCAAAGCTGAATCAAAGATGGCCTTAATGGTGAAGACAGACATATGCTTTCATTGACACATATGGCTGAGTTTTATATTTAGATCGTGGACTGGTGCAGCGCCCTCAAATACTTTAAGTGTATTCACTTTATTTTAAGGGCTGTTGTAATTTTATTTTATTTAACTATGTGTATAATGAATTTGTTCTAGACAGTTTGCAAAGAAGAATGGACATCAGCAAGTTTCCTAAAAATACGGTTCTTAACAGAAATAAGATATTTGGTAAATAAAATGACACAAATTTTGTGAATGATAGCAACTTCCCACACACAAATTCCAACTATCAATCCCCATTTCATTTTCTTTGATCTAGATCCTGCAAAACTATTATAGTTTATGCACTTTCCTCCCTGCCAACAAACAAGCTTTGCTGCCAGCAGCTAGCAAAGCTATCTTTCATTCATCTGCCTAGCACTGTCAGTTCAGAGTAACTGAAGTGAAACTACGTTTGAAAAATAAGGAAAATTGATTTCTATGCATAGGGTTGCATAAATAGCTGGAAATAAGTGGGTTCCTTCCCACCTAACCCCCTTTCTGCAAATAAATGCAGTGTACTGACATGCCAGACTTTTAAAACATAGCCCAGACTTTTCAATTCTTATAAATAGCTTTTTTTCTTACACAGGAAAAGACAGCTTATTTGGCTTTAGAGAATTCAACATCTTAAAGACAGGTTTTCCTTAATGTATATATGCACAAACTTAATCTTTTTTAAGTAAACTGAGTAATTCTGCTTCTCACTTGAGATGACAAAACAAATCCTGTCTTCTGCTAAGTTAACAAGTTAACTGGTACTTCACGTGGGGTTTTTCTTCCTTTTCTATAAACACCAGTATTCTCCTTGCTCTCAAAATTGTACTTTGTATTCTAAAAAAACTATTTTTATTTAAACCTGGTACCAATCTTTTGTTTTTAGAAGACTCCAGCAAAAATGCCCAATATTGCCAGTTTCCTGATGTACGTTTTTGCATAACATCTTACAAAAAGTGAACCTTCTAGCCCAAACCCATTAAATAAAGTTTTAAATATATAGTGCCAAATTTTATATTTACAATATATTCTGAAAGCAAATATAAATCTTTGAAGTTGTGCTTGTAAATACATACCTGCAGCTATTAAATCTACTACTCCAAAAACTATTTGCTACCTTCTAGACACACCACTGATCGACTCAGACTTCTTGCTAGGTTCTGATGTTGAATTCACAGCTGCCCACCATTCTAACCTCTTCTTTCATCAAGTAGTTACAGTGGAAGCTATAAAACATTTAAGGACACTTTAGCATAAGTTTTCCTCATGGTCCTTGTGGTTTAATCAGATGTTGCACCTTGTACTTTAACAGTGATATTCCTTCTGGTATTGGTGACATGACGTTGTTGAGCTAGAAATGAGCGTCCAGGACCATCTCTGCAGGCACCACTACTGCCAACCAGTCTTGCTTCCATACCTAGCTTCTGAAGAGTTATGCTCTGCAAATAAGTTAAACAACTTATTATCTATTGGCCAGTTTTCATACACAGAGCTCATGCTTAATTAGGATACAGACAGAATTTCTCCTACTGTATTTCTTATCTACCCTTTTGCTGCCATAAAAGGTACAAACCAAGGCTGAAGAAAAAAAGATTCGTTCACATGCATATGGAATGTGTTCATTTTAGCTTATTGTAAAGTTGTTCCTTTATTAAGCCACTTAATTTTGCTTTCCTATTTTAATTTCCCCATTCCAGTCTTTCTTCATGAAACTTTTTAAATATGAAACTCTCCATGTGAATATAAACAACTTTCTCCAGTCCCTTTCACAGCAATCTAACATCAAACATCCTAACAACCTCTACAACACTGCTGCAGGATGAGGCTCTAGCTTTATTTCACAAATACTGTGCTAAAAACACTGAACATCTAAAGCAGGAGTCTGGAAACCTTTTGAACCACAGCTTCCCTTTGTCTCGAGCTCAAACTTCAACAGCCAATGCTACTTCAACAACAAATGCTACTGAACATTGAGAAATTTTGTCTGATAAATCCAGATGGCAGCTTGTGGCAGCAAGCAGTACATCACTGACAAGGAAGTCACGGCCTATGCCAAATTTTAGGCCTTCTATTCCAAAGCACAGAAGACAAGCAGAAAACATAACATTTTACAAAATAGTTGATTGTTAAAATATTCCTAAAGAGAAAAAATACTAGATGTGATGTAAGATTTAGCTGCCACGTTTAGCAAAATGTGTTTTTCTAATTTTGGAGATGCCAGCAAACAAACTTTTGACCCACCTTGTTATACCATGCAGTTACAATTAGCTTCTCCTCATAATCACGTAACTTAGCAAGTTTGTATTCAGCCTGCAAGGACACAATAGAGAAGACAATCTCAATCAAAACACAAAAATCATCTGTATAAACTTATTGCAGCCCATTGAGTGAAACACACAGGCAGCAAAAATGCTTAAAACCACAAAATAATTAGAAGGCTTAGAAGTGTAAATAAAGATTCTTCTACAAATGATTATGAGAGAAGTTACAGACTACTTCAAGAGGAGGCTAAACTTCACACAAGTTGCAGTTCAATGTAGAAACGTATTTTGAACGTGCATGTATGTGAGAGTACAAGAAAATCTAGGGGGTATCAGAAAACCTATATATAATTTACTATTTTTTTGATCTGAAAGTCAAAGGTAAGAACATACCTCTAGTGGATGAATATTTTTATGCCACTGAATTGTTATTATATAGTATACTTGACTAGTACATACACATAGAAGAAATCTTGGGGCCACAGTATTTATAAAGTCAGACCTTTCAGCTACTAACTCGTACTGAGGAATTCTGTATTTGCTCAGTTAACTGTTCTAACCAATCCCCTCAATATTGCTGTAAAACTGAATCCAATTTTTCTTGGTACATGGACTATTATCACCAATCAGGATTTCAGCCAGGCAGGTTTTACTGAATTAACAGGTTTTACTCTGCTATATAGTTTCAAGAACTCAGTATATGAAACCACTGATATTAGGGGTCTAGTAAATTAAACAAGTCACTGCTTAAATAGCTAGTCCCTCACACAAAGTTACATTACTACTGAAAAGGGTCAGACTCTGCAGCTCTGTACAAGCTACCATAAACACAGCAAAACTAATAGTCTTAGAAATGTTTCACTTACAGGGGGTTTAGAACTAATCCAAATTAGTGTTTCAGTTGTACACTGGAAACCACTGTTGAGAAGTAAACTGCTGTGACAGGCTTATACTAAGATACAAATTTGATTAAGCCAAACTAAAAATCTCTAGGTTTGATGGTCTTTGCAGTTTCTAACTGAATGCAGCATGGAAGGGTATTGGATCATTAGGAAACAGTAACTTGAGTGTCTAGCATCAGAGACAGCAGAACATGTCAGAAGTTATTATTAAGTATGTAAACTTTTACCTCCAGTGCTTCAATTTTTTTGTCTTTCTCCATTATCTGTTTTTTGAGTGACATAATTTCTGCTGATGCTGGATTTAGCTTGGGGTCTAAGGTTTTTATCACCTGCACAAGGCAAAACAAAAGTGTTGCAAGTCAGGTTTGATTCTCAGCAGCTCTGCATCTTATTCGCTCACTGCAGAAACATTAGTCAGGTAATTAAGATGAAAACTAGGCTGTAAACTGTACAACAAAAAGATACCAAAGGGTACAAAGGAATAATCATTAATGCATCTCATACTTGGTCTAAACCCCATTCTCTCATACACTTAACTGACTGCAGTTGAGTAATTAGACTAAAAACGCAACATGTAGCTACTAATTTTGATTGGGAATTGGAGGGCAGAGGACTCAGATGAACCTGTATAACAATTTATGAGGGAGGAAGGTGTATGTTCAGAAACATGCCACTCACATTTCTTGCTTTCTCAAGGTACATTTTATATCTCTCTTCCATTGCTTTCATATCCTCATCTTTTTTTCGCAAAGCTGCTTCCAGCTCTCCAATCTTCTGGGCTATTGACAGAAATTATCAACAGAGACATACAAAATGAAACCAGACATGGTACTTTCAAGACTTCCGTGTTCTCTTGATTTAACTACCTCCAAATAAACTCTCTAGCTACTACATAATCTCCTGAGTTTGTTTCAGTCTGTAGGGGTTTTTATTTCAGACCATAAGGTCTTACCTGACCCTGGATTCCTGGTTTGCAGAGTACTGTTTGACAAAACTAAGCCCCACAAACCTCTCCCAATCCCCATTTCAGGTTTAAAGCTATGCTGTAGCAGAAAGCTTTATCCAGAGAAGTATTCCAGAGCCCAGTGACTACGGGAATCATTTCAGAAGAAACTTAACATAGTCTTGTAAGAAACACCCCAAAGCCACACAAAACAACTTACGGTTCTGACTAACATCAGGCTGAAGTTCTGCAAGATCAGCCTCTTCCTTCTGTAACTCATCATGAACTTCATTCAGTTTTTCCCTACAAATGAAAGGCTGGGCTAAGGATTAAACTCACAAATAATTCCATGCACAGTTTTAACAGCTGAAAGCCAAAACTTGATGGTGGAAATGTCTTTAACAACTATTTTAAACTCTGGCAATTCTTTTGAGTTTAAATAGAAATATTAGTATGTATTTTTGAAGAACCATAAAAGTCGTGACTTCTGAGTTGAGTATCAATCGCCTAAAATTAGAAACAAAAAAGCACATGAACAAAAAACCCCTCCAGCATCTCCTTAGCAGGAACTAATCTGCTGAAAGATCAGAAGTATTTTGAAATACTTAAATACATTTTGAGCCCAGTAAGAGTGATGCTTTTAGCAATCTGCTGTAGAATCAGAACAGTTAAAATACTACTGCTGATGAAGAGACAGTTAAGTAAATATTAGTATTACAAGATTATCAAGATCAGAGTAGACAAAACTAGAATGCTAATACTTAACTCACTACATGCAGGATTCTTACATCAATGGTGTAGAAAAACAAGACATCCCTGCAAAGACTTAGGCAATTTCTGTGCTACAACAGTTAAATTACTTAGCATAAATGACAGTAGATGCATGTGCCTTACTTACATGTGTGCTGCCAACTTCTGCTTCAGGTTGCTAGACTATAAAAGGCAAGAGTTAAAATCCAGTTATATTTCAGTATTTCATACCACGCAATGCTAAAAGGCTCTTACAAATCAGCCAAGAATACTTAGCACACCTAAATAAGTAAAACCAAATAAATCCTGAGAAAACTGCACTTTTCATACATTTCTGTAACTGCATTCATACTTTTTGCATTGCACAGATACCAATTCCAGCATCTTTTTTCTTTAAAACTGTTCTTATCACTATAGCACCATTTAAGGACACAACTAGAGATTTTTCAAAGTAAAAAGAAGGTAGAAGAGCTACAGTTCCTTAAAGTAGGTTTGGGGAAGGAATCACTTAAAACATGAGCTTTCCAATTGAAATGCAGTTGGTGGGGGGGGTGTCTTGTGAATTGTCATACTTCATGTTACACTGAAGCATTTTAAACAAAACTGGCAAGATGTCTCCAAGGTCAAGCCAGAACATTCACTTACTCCTTCAGCCTTGGATCCCTGCTCCTGTAAAGTCTTTTGCAGATCTTCAATCTGCTGCTGTAACCCCCCAATACGCTCTTCATTTAGCCTGTTAGGAAGAAAAGATAGTCATCACCCATTCTAAATAGATCACAATAGACACATGTTTGTTTCATGTCTGGATGGTAATTTTTCAGAGTCTACCCAGAAGAACTTAAGCCATAAAAACTGATTTCAAATGCTTTTAGTTTAACTTGAACGTCTGCTAAACAAACACATAGTAGCTTTATAAACATTTTATAATGAAAGACCCAGAATCCCTTTAAGTTTTCTCAAAACTTAACTACCTAGAATTCTCATAGCTTAGTAAACTGCTATCAACATTCATTAACTGATAGAGAAATTCAGACCATAACCCAGTGTTACAACACGGTTAGTTTGAAGTTCTAGTAATAGAGTTTACATCCATTCTTGGTCTACCACGAACCATTCAGAGCTAAGAGCATCCAATAAGCAACATGCTGTTCAGAGGACACTGCACATAGCTCTACCACATTCTACACCACCATATTAAAGCTACTTTCTCACTTGCTTCTCAACCCTTCATTAATAGTTACACTGTTAAAAGAAAAAGGATAACTGGCTTCCTGCAAAGTGCTATGCTACAGATGTGAGGCACCATGCCACTCTGAAGGTCCAGAAAGCACTTTTTGATACATTTTCATAGAATCACAGACAGGTTTTGGTATGAAGGGACCTTAAAGCTCCTCCAGTTCCAACCCCCTGCCATGAGGAGGGACACCTTCCACTAGAGCAAGCTGCTCCAACCCACTGTGACCAACCTGGCCTCGAACACTGCCAGGGATGGGGCAGCCACAGCTTCTCTGGGCACCCTGTACCAGCACCTCACCACCCTCACAGCAAAGGATTTTCCCCCAATACCTGATCTAAATCTACCGTCTTCAAGTTTAAGATGTATTTTAAGATGCTGTTTCACCCATCACCTTTTCTCAGTTTCCAGTTCATTCACTGTCCGATGCTTTTGCTCCAGCTGCTCCTGGAGCTCTGTAATACGTTCATTTTCTGATCCCTCCTGCTTTAATAGGAGCATCTTATTTTCATGCTGCAGCCGAATAAACATTTCTCTGAATCCAAAAGCAACAACAACAACAACAAAAAAAAAATCAGTGCTAATGAAGAACATTCTTGTTCATTCCCCAACCTTCCAACCTTAAAGTGAGCAAAACAAGTTCTGTTTAAGGAAATAGTTGGAGTAACCATACAATTTTTTATTAAAAGGTAACTTACAATTTCCAAACATCACAATACTTTTTTAAAAGATAAGCAAAATTTAAATTAAGTCACTCCAAACCCAGATTTTACTGTAACTTTACGTTTCACTCTGACAGACTTTAAAAGCAGTATTAGGTAGCTTTTTGATGGTCTGTCTTAGTTGCTGCATATTATTTATTTAGTCTGTCTGCCAGTGGCAAAGTAAGAATTCTTTCGCTCCTTAGAGAGGATGTTTCAAGCCAGACTTCATATACAGAAATCTCATATGCTTTTAAGAAATAATGTAAAGTAATTATAGTATGAGGAAATAATTACTAACAGCTATCTGGGGGTCCAGAGAAGCATCATAAAGGGAAAGCAAGAAGTGGGATGTAAGTTATATTGCTGAAAATATTGAACTTTCAAGGGAGCAGTATTATGCTTAACCCATGCAAATCCCAACCTCAATGTTTTTGTCTTACCTATATTCCACTGGCAGAATTTCAGCAGCAAGATTCTCATTGCTTTTAACGTGAGATCCACCTGAAATTGCACGGGAAGTTTAATTTAAACAAACTTAAAGAAATCACAAATATACATAAAAAAGCCTCTGTAGAATAAGCAATACCTGTTTGACTCAGGTGATCCTGCTGCATCTGTGAGTACCGGAGCTCTTCATTTGTCTCTTTTAATGCATCACACTGTACTATCAATCTCTAAGAAAATATGTTGGAGGTGGGATTAAGTCACAGTGCTCCACTTTGAGACCAAATAACATTAATCTAGAATAGTACTGACACACACACATTTTAAGACATGTTTTATGTGTACACACACACCCAAGGTGCTAAACTTCATTTTTATGGCAGTTCAACTTACGGGAAGGTTTCCCTCAAGCAAAGCATTTCAGAGATTTATGAGGTGTGCAAATAAACTCTTATGCAAGAGAGACTTACCTCTTTCTCTTTGATTAAAGCTTCATGTTTTTCTTCAAGTCGCTTCATTTCAAATGCAAACTTATCAGCTCTTTTTGATTCTTCAGACAGTTTGTTATGAAGCTCCTGGACCTTTTTATTAAAAGTATATATATTTATATATTCAGCAGATGAATGTTGCAATATGCTACCTTTAAAAGCCATGTTAAAACCTTCACTCCTGTCTAGTTCAGCCATACAAAATACCTGGTCCTCCAAGCTTAGGGGAGACAGAAATGGGATGGGGGCTGTGTGTTTGGGGCTTTCTGGTTTTGTTGGTTTATTTGGTTTTTAAACTATTAAATCCTGCATTTCAATTACTATTGAAATAAGTGAAATAAAAATTAAAGTTCTACAGTTTAAAATAGATTTCCATGAATAAAGTTTAGAATATTACATACAAGTGACCTCCCAGACACACAAACTACCTCAGTTAAAGGAAAGAAAAGCCTGCAAACCACAAATCAGTTGAGAGGGCAACTACAGTTAAGCTTGCTAGTTTAATAAACAGGGATAAACAGCAAGTGCATGGCAGAACATGAAAGTTTTCAGAAATTTGAAAGGGACAATACAGTTTAAGCCCATGGCCTGTTAAATCAAGTTGTTCATTTCTTCACTGAAACTTAATTAAAGTAACTTTATTTAGGTAAGAACTATATGAGGAAAAAATCAACATCTTCAATATAGATGCAGCCTTACCTGTCTTTTGTAGGTTTCTAGTTGGGCACGTGCTGCATTGGCTTTCTTCAGTTCATCCTCCAGACTGACTGTATTGTGCATGTACATCATGTTGGTTTCCTGCAGGGATTTGACTTGTCTGCGGAAGTCATTCAGGTCCTGCAGCTTTTTACGGTACACCTCAACAGTTGATTCCAGCTTACTTGCCTTGTCTGCAGTAGCCCTTAAAGGAGAAACAGGAATTAGAAGAAAGAGTATGTTTCTCCAAAAGATTAAAAAAGTCAAATTCCACTGTTGTGCACATTCAAGCTATTTTCAAAAAGAGAGATGTCCTGCAGTAAAGGTTGCACTTGATGATCTTAAAGGTCTTTTCCAACGTAGTTAATTCTATGATGCTATAAAACACGCTTAACAGCAGAGTTAAATCTTACTGCTTTATTTTTAAATGCATAATTGATGCAAACTTGCATTATGCGAAGATTGCTTATAAACACTGAGATCACCACAAGGTTTATGTGGGAGTAAGACTAACAGTTGTATGCCAGAAGTACATGCAAAGGTTAGTATGTCAAATATCTCCAGGGAATTCTGTGGGGTGCAATGTAAATGCACCACAACATCCTGTGCTAGATAGTCATCTCAAAGTACTGGTCCCTAGTGAGGAAAACACACACAGATGATGCTCTCATTGTGGGGTTATACATAATTAGAACGTAACTGCACGATGAATATGATCATTAGATATGGCTAAGAATTACCAGCTGATCATTAACAAAACTCTGTGTTAAGAAAATGTTTGGATCATAATTACACAAATTAATTTTAGTATCTGTGTTTTAATCCTTTCATGTCACATCACTAGAAGCTAGTACAAGAAAATTATGGAAAAAACCTTATAGTTAAGATTTGTTTCAGATGTCATTTAAGAAACACCATAACTTCAACACCTGAAACCACTTTTCTTTCCATGTTTTATTCATACTATTTTATGAATAGCAGACCTGCTTTTGCAATGTGATTTGCTTTGGATATTTCTTCGGTGGTCTGGAATTTAATTTGGTTTGTACAAGCTGGAATGTTAAATTCTCAAGGTTACTGCGTAGTTCATCTTCATTTTGTTAATCCTGTTGCTAATCTAAATCTAACCTAGAATGCTGACACCAGAAGTTACATTGAAGTTCTAGCTGCTTATGTGTTTTTCTACACCAGAAAGGCAGCCTCTTGTTAACAAAAATGTCCCCTGAATTGAAATGCACACAAACTCCCCTAAAAATTTCTTAATTCTTATAGAACTTCAACCTTCCATCCTGCAAGAAGAATAATTTCTGTATTCATTCATAATGCTTCACAGAAAAATTCCAAGTTGCTCTTCTTATGCAAACAATGGAGTCTATATCTAAAAGCTTGTACTCCACCTCTGCTTTGTCAAAGGGCCTTTTTCCAACATTTATTTTAGATATCAGATAAGACCTGCAGAAGTAATGCCTCAGAAAAAAATCTAAACACAAAGCCTTGAATTCAGTCATTAAATCCTCCTAATGTGTGTGTGAAGCTCTCCCTATTACATACCTAAGAATGTCATTTTCATCTTTCAAGGCTCTAGATTCTTCTGCCAAAGAGGTTAGCTCATTGTTTCTATGCTGTAGTTCAATCAACTGTTTTTCTAGATCTTCACAATGGACACGATAATCGTCTTTTGCAGCTTCAAGCCTATGAGATCAAAAAAGAACTCTGTTAAGAACTCATCATTATTACACATTTTTCATTTAGTGCTAGAACTACTAAAAACAACTAAGAAACCTATTGATTTAGGTAGTTAGGAAAATGGTACTGCAAGTATGGAACATTTTTTTGCCTGCCTTTTAAATCATAATGGTTTGTACACTGCAAATGGATTGGACACTGCAAGGTCCTACACCTGGGTCAGCACAA